CTGAGTGGCCTTGTTGGCATACAAGACGCAAGTAACACTGTGCAAGTTGGAAGCACTCTTACCGTCTCACTTACATCAACATCCTCAACCCATTTTCATGCGTTGAAACAGATTTCTGTTTGTCTTGGACCCTATGATGGCCCACTGCATGCCAACCATAGCCCCAAGTGTATACCCCATTATAACTTAGTTTCCATGTTCTCTTCGATTATTCCTATATAACCCCTGTATACACCCTATTCTAATGTATTAGTGTAGTAGTTTCCATTTTCTTTTCCTTTATTCCTACATGTGTGGTATGCCAACTCGACCACTTCTGAGCATTGCCCTCAGCCGGTTCAACCCACGGATCGAAAGTGCTGGAGCCTCAGGATGTCGGGGCTTCTTGATACAAGTTACAGGGTTTGGAGTTTTGGGCTTATAATCCCGCTTAAGTAGCTTCAATATGGCTTTGGGTAAAATTGGTTTAGGGTATAGGGTTTGGTGTTTGGGGTTTAGGGGTATATATATATATATGTATATATATATATGCATGGCTTTGGGGTTTTTGGTATTGGGCTTTAAGGTGTCGGGTTTAGGGTTTAGGGCTTACGTGTCTTTGGGGTCTAGGGTTGCAGTCTTTAAGGCTTAGGGTTTGAAGACGAGGTTTAGGTAGGTACTTGTGGGGCCTTGAGGTCCATAGGGAGATTCACGGAGATTTTTGTCATTTGAGCGAATTATAGGGGTGCCCATTCACGATTCCATAGACAAAAATATTCTGAGAAACTCCCCAGTCAGACAAGTTGAGGGAGCACTGAAGACATCTCAACAAACACAATCGTAGATTATAGTCCCCCTTAAGTAGATAGAATACGGCTTTGGGTATGTTATAATAAGCTCCCCATATACCCCATATTCTATCTACTCAACGGAGACTATATGATATAGAGTCATCCCTGCAGAGCCCATGTATGTCAGCATGCTGGATGAGCAGATGCCTTCATGCTTTTCTTCAAAAAATGGATAGATTGGAGTTATATTGGGGCGAAGCTGGGGTTATATTAGGGTTATGTTGGGGGGCGGGGGGGTCGGGGCCGGCAAAAACTTATGTCGTAACATGAGTTGGTCCTTAGATGTTGATTCTCATGAACACAACTATAAACGCTACACTCTAATCGTTGGAAGCTTGAGTGACACTGCCTTGGCTGAGGTTGTTGCGCCTGAATGGTTTCCCTGCAGGTCATTTCCGTTGCACGGAGATGATTTTTGTATATCGATTCAATTGTCTCTTGGTCGTTTCCGGTTGGTGGGTGTGCTTGAACCGAACTTTTACACCCTCTCACATCCAACAAAGGTTAGAGGGAGTCGAAGAGTCAGTCAAGAAGAACCCCCGTCAAAGGTTCTAGGCAGTCAACGACTCAGTCAAGAGTGTTAGGATCCATTGACTAGCACACCCACCAAGACTCCGTTACCCGAAGCCTCACGGAAGTGTTGAACTTCGGACGTTCGGGTCATCGATTAGTTCCTCTTATTTGAGTCTTTGTTAGCTCCAGGCGATTTAAATCATGCTGGAAGAGCGACAACACCAAATCACGGACAAGTGGCCGAACACGACGCCCTACAGCGAAACTTGGCTGAATCAGGATGCGAGGTTTCCAGATGAGGCGTCTAAAATATGGAGGTCTGAGAGCAAGCATTCTAGTCTTGCGGGGTCATGAAATCTACCTAGCGGACCAGTCCCTTGACACGTCCCTCAGCTCTGTTTTTTGCTGTTTCCATTTGCTGCTACAGTATTACTGGAACATGGCATTCATCACGTATTGCACTAGTCTCCACTTGCTTTCCCATTAAACATGGGAAAGAAGACAACAATTTGACCTACTGTCAAGAGGGGCTGCCTGCAGATAGGACTGGACGAGTTTTTGAAAGGAGGTTTCCATTGAAGGCCCTTTGTGAGATGTCTGAATAGCCAAAATCGTGAACCCTCATTCCTTCTATACCTGCATATGAACTATAGTCCAAACTCCTTGAAGGGGGTCATATAGGGGATTACTATTGGGGGGCTATTCAGGGAATGCTAGGAGTTTAGATTATGGATCACATATCCTATCATACCCTTCTATGTCCCTATGTCTGTCCAGACCCTAGAACCCTAAACCCTAAATAGCAGTTTCCATTATTTTTCCATTATCCCCATATACCCGGATATACCGCAATATACCCCGATATACCGCAATATACCCTCATATATCCCCAATATGTCCCCAATGTACGAGCAAGATATCCCCAATATTTCCCCATATACCCCAATATATACATACTGAGGTCGAGGCAGTGTGCCATGAATGCTGTCTTCGGTTGGGAGCAGAGGTCAGTGCAGTGGCTAACCCACCTCTCGCGGAGGAATATCACTTGCAGCGGCTGGCCGAGAAGGGCTCCTGTGGACCGTGTTTCATAATAGTACCATAGGGATAGTGGAAAAGAAAATGGAAGCTACTATTTAAGGCTTATATAGGGATTATATAGGGGTTATATTGGGATAACGGAAAAGAAAATGGAAGCTTCAGTATGATTACTATTATTGTTAGCAGGAGGCGTAGGAGTAGGAGTTATGCACAGAGCCATGGGGGGTAGTACACTTGTAGCTGTTGCAGTAGTTGTTGCTGTAGCAGTAGTAGTATGATGGGCTACTTTTTGCATGCCTGTTATTAGTACTGTTGGTGCCTGCATTCTTGTCTAGAATCATCTTCGCTTTTCATATGAAAGTGCCGTAGTAATGGCCGCTGTTAAGTAACTTGCAGAGGAGCGTTTCGCAAGCAGTGAGAATTCTTCATACCTTCAGAATTGTGTAGCAACCGTTGCAAGTTTCTCGTTGATGTTGTTCGTAGCTGCCCTTGTTTCTGCTAGAGCACAGTCGGCAGCCTTGCTGAATTTTCGTGACCTTCGCCGGAGAGGATAGTCCTTAGGGAGCTTTGCACCACAAGTTGATGCGCCGCCGCCGCCGGTCATTTGCACTACGTCGTAAGAACAGTCGTTTCAGTCTTTGTCCAGCTTTCAGCTAAGACCTGCTAGCGCACAAGGGCGGCTCAGAAGCTTTTTTTTCTCTTGTAGCCTTGACGCCACGTCGTAGTTCCACCGAATTTTCCTCGACTGCCAGTGGCTCGATGACTGCACACTGCATGCCATGGGCCGGCGTGAACCGACGCCAACATGGCTATGGTTGGTCACCTGATATGTGCTCCGTCCATGTTGAATTTGGTGCCAACTTCTCAGCACCCTCCGACCCCTTGCCTTTTCCAAGACTCATAAAACTTTGGTTGCTTGCAAGAAGTTGAGGGGGCTGCAGAGGATTGCAAGCTGGCGAATCGAAGCGTATGCCAACGTGGGTCCTCGCTGCGAGACCAAGGAAAATCAAGCGAAGTCTTTTTTCCGGCTTTCCGTGTCCAAATGCAGTATGAGCATGGAGTCGCACGGACATGTTTGGTGTATAGACTGGGTTTTATGTGACATACATTCAAGGTGAGATACTACGCAGGCTTAAAGCAGAGCATGACTTCCATGCGAGCTAGGTTCCCATGCGACCTTTTTTTTCAAAGATCCTTGTAGGATCCACAGACGTTGTGTTTCGGATGTCGCCTGGATTTGCACGATGGTTATGTATAAACAACCCATTAGCTCCATATATGGTTTGGGGTATAGTACACGGTAATATGAATTCTACTCAACCCCCTTATAACCCTACATAATCCCTACGCAACTAGATTCCCATTAAAACCTCCTTTTTTATCACTATAACACGAAAACCCCCTATAACCTTGTGTAACCCTAAGAACACCATATGATAACCCCTTTACAACCCTATATAATCCCTATAGCCCAATCCCTAGAGCATTCTATAACGCTATATAGCATGGTTTAACCCTGAAACCCCAAATCCTCAACCTCAAACCCTAAATCCAAAACCCCAAACCCCAATCCCTAAATCCTAAACTCCAAACCCTAAACCCCAAAGCCTAAACCCCAAACCCTAGACCCCCAACCCTAGACCCTGAACCCTAAAGCCTAAACCCTATGTAACACCGTCATGCCAAACGTTTGGCTCAACTGGGCTTAGCCGCAGAGCCTTGAAGAGGCGCGGCGCCTTGGGCTCCGACAGGGGTTATGTAGCGATCCTACAGGGTTTGGGGTTTAGAGTCTAGGGTTTAGAGTTTAGGGTTTAGGGTCTAGAGTTTAGGGTCAGGAGTTTGGGGTTCAGAGTTTAGGGTTTGAAGATCGCAGTTTAGGGTTTAAAGTGAAGGACAAGAATTTAGGGTTCAGAGTTTAGATTTTACGGTTTCGGGATTTGGGTTGAGGGTTTAGGATTTAGGGTTGGTGGTTATGTAGGGGCTATACAGGGATTTATCGGGCTTACGAAAGGCAATATACGGATTACATGGGAATCATTCATCGACTCGTTTAGAGCTAAGAGATATGTCGCCCTATGGAGAATTGAGAATCAAGTGGAAAATGAAATGGAATCTTGGGTGCAAAGACCCAGAAGTGGCAAGGAAGTCATGAATAGAGCTATGGGGCTCTTCAGACATGGTGTCCTATCCTCTGGTTAGGATTCCCTGTTCTGTCAGCGTTGTTCAGGCCTGGACGCTGATGGCGACACCGTCAGAGACATCATATCTTGGCTGGGTAGGAAACGCATGTTAAAAGCAGCCATATCATGTGAGCCGGGGTCAAAATTACCGCTATTGTACAGTAGTAAGGAGGGTTGTTCAATGAGTAGA